GAGCCAATACACAGTTCTCATTACATAATAAAACATTGCCAGAGTATTTAGGGCAACAGCCACACTTTTGCTTCAGAACTGTCCTAATGTATACAATCTTTCATTTCAAAAACTGTTTTCTAGCCTTTGTTATAAAAGGAGAGCCTTGACCGTGTGAAGAAAAAAAAACAACTAACAGAGGGTTGTCTTCCTGAGCATGCAGACAGCCTGAAATAACAGCTCTTTGTGATACGAGTCATCCCACCCATTTCAATCAAACTCTACCTGTAAAACCTTAAAAAGGATGTCAGTGGAAGCAGTTTAATTGTTCATGTTATATTCCAGTGAATATAAAACATCCCTGAATTTAAGATGCACTCACATTTTTTGACTCGTGAAACATGAATTTATTTACAAAAATGCAGTCTCTGTGGTAAATAAGAGTTGATCCTCCTGCTTTTTTTTTTTCTTTGCTTTATTTATTTATTTATTTATTTATTTTAGGAATTTAAGTTAAAGTTACAGGGCATTTTTAGAAGAAATATTTCACTCTTAAATGAAAAAACATGGTATTTTTACCCAGGACAGCCATAATTCCAAACTACCTGTCTCGCTTTCCCAATTCCAAAAATCACAGCTTCCCCAATGACACTTTCACTACGGCTTTATAAATTCTGAAACTTCCAACATAATTGAAAATGCATGGGAAACATATAATAAAACATGTATTATACAGCTACTATATGCTGTATAATCTGTGTTAATTGATATTAAACATTCAAAATAAAAGAAAGGTGATTTACTAACATCATAGTTTGTATTGATTAAGTTCATTAAAAACATTTTTTTTCCCCAAGTTGATGAAGATCCTGCGGAACTTCTGGTTTATTACAAAAGAGATAAAAACCTAAAACAACTGCCTCATAAAATTAATTACTTACAACCTGACCGTTAGTATAATTTAAAAAAAAAAATCACTATGTACATACAGTAAAAATGTTTAACACAGATCATTTTCTTTATGCATATTACACACTAATAATGTCTGTTTATAAACTCATTCCGTCTTATCCTTATCTTAGATATGGAAATAAGAAATAATGGACTACGGAAAAAAATTGGAGTTCAGCAATAAAAGAAATAAGAGAAGATGTTAAAAAAGGAAGGAGAAAGGACAAAGAGGAAAATGGATGGATATGAAAGGAAGCTGGGCAGAGAGGCAGCGAAGTGAGTGGGTGCAATGTAAATTATTCAGATCTTTGCAGGGAAGTGTCATGTATGTCCCAGAACTTATCTTGGACAATTCTATTACTAGTATGCAATTCTTTCTAAATGGTTAGCCTCACTATGTCTGTGTGCCAATCTTAAATTAATAGGCACTTTTTGTATATCAACACCTGTATAAGACACTAGTTATATAGTTACACAGGCGTAACTTAGCAGTTACTAGTCCGCTACTGAGCCAAAGTTTTCATATTTAGTATTCACAAGAGATAACTGTACATGCCTGGTTTGTGATACAAGTTTATTCCTAATTATTGCACTATTAATCATGGAATTAAGTTTTCTCCAGAACAAATGGATGTTGGAATACTCCCAAAGCATATGGATTAAACAAGCACCTGCTGAGTCACAGTGCAAAGTTTATTGCTATAATGCAAACATTATGTTAGAAATGTATGGGCATCAGTTCTGGATGCAGTCAGTGTTGGCAAAAGAATGACTGCACAATTTGTCCAATTTACTGGATTGATTGTTTTGGACAAATCAGTCAATCAGTAGGTGATTGAATACACCCCAATCTGATTTGCTGCTGAATTATACTAAGCAACAGTCCAATAAACAAGAGTCTCTAGAATTCAGTTCCATTTCTTAGCTGTGACATGTTTAGTTTCCCCCTTGCCTTTCTTTTTTGGGGAATCAGTGTTTCCCTCAAATTTGGTTGCCAGGCTAAGATGATGGTGAGGTTGTGTTTAACTTGGACATATTCATTTCCAGCGACAAAAAGAAAAGCATCACTTCCAATAAAGCATCTGATGGTTAAGATGTCAATCTAAATTGGCCAAATGATGGGTTACAGGAGTTTTGAAAAACCCCAAACAGAAGTACGTAGAAGGGAGTATATTTTAAATCTATTAAACTGGTTAAGCCTACATGTCTACAACAAAAGTTTTTAATTTTTCTTTAGGGAAATCAGTAAGACAAGTGCAGCACACAGGCAAAGGATCAAAGCGCAACCAGTTCAGCTTCCACCTGGAGTCAACATGTGCTCTGAGGTGGAGGAGGGGTGCTTTAATTAGAGTGGCTCCAAGAGCCACTCTAATTAAAGTGTCCACAGCATCCTGTGTATTCAGTGTCCCACACTTCAAAATGGTGGTGGGGACACTTGAACTGAAGCTCATTTGACGAGCTTTAGTTCAAGCACCCCTGCTGCCATTTTGAAGTGCGGAGACACTAAATAGATGCAGCACGGAAGCTGCTGGAGCACATTAATTAACATGCTCCAACACACTCGATTAATTGAGTCTGCTCCAATGCATGCTAATTAGCATGCATCGGAGTAGACTTCTGGCACGTGTATAGGTGCCATAATGCTCTAAGCCAGGTATATAAATCATTAGGCTTCTTGATAAGGATCACAGGGCACTTGAGGCATGGGGCATGCTCAACAAGAGCATCCTGAGATTCTGAAGAGTACCCCACTGCTAGTTAAAAGTGGGAGGTACCTCATGATATCCTATGACCAAGGAACATCTACAATGAATACACTACTGGTCACTGCAAGTATGAGAAGAGCCAGCTGAAACAATATGCTGTAAGTGAGAGTGGGAGCAAATTAACACCTCTGCCCCCTGTTCCCCATTGTACCACAGACTTGCAAAGACTAAGGCCTTTGAATATTCCCCACCCCAGCAATTGTACACTGCAAGCTAAAGCCAGTAACTATTAATTCCCTAGGTTACAAACTTTGTACCAACTTGGTTATCATGTGTGGGGTCCTATCTCTTGCCTTTCTACAGCATTGCATTGAAACCTCCTAACCACTTTACCCCGGTTTAATGAAGGCTGAATAACTAATTGCATATCTTAGATTGCATCAATATATGTCAAATTGTAACTATGTAGCTACAATGTGTGGAGTCCTGTATTGTCTTCCAACTCTATCATGTCATAAAATAAACTATAATTTTAACATTTTATTAATAAAGTTCTAAAACTTTTCTGGTCAGTTAGGGAATCTACAACAACCTACTCTGACAAGAAGCTGCATATTACAGTAGGGAGATTTTGGTTTGTTACCAGCATTTCACAAGAAGGATCTTATGTGGCTGACTGATGAACTACTAGGCAGGAATGTGGAAAAGGAAGGAATTCAACATAAAGCAGGCCTATTTTGAGCATTTGAAGTCTTATCAATTAATATTAGAAGTATTTTTTGCCTCTCACCTGCACAATATCCCTTTCTGCATATTTTCCTCTTGAGGAAATTCTGATTGCATCACCATCCAATTCTTCCATAGCTGAAAAAAGAAAAGCAAATGAATGTATTCACTTATTATTTCACTCATACAACAAATCTAAGTTATGGAAAACAAAGTCTTAGGTTCTTTGAATTCTGTGCAGGATGACAACATTTTTCTATTAGATTAAAAGTTCTCTCTTAAGACTCTTCATTATCCAAATGTATCATATACAACAGTTAATTTCCATTCTCTTATGCCAATACCATATGTTACTTGCATTTTTAGCTTTGGTTAGTTTAGCACAAAATAAACCCTGGCTTGGAGAGCCTGTAGATATCCAAACTCCATTCCAATATGTGCCCAATTAATTGCATGTTAGGTCTAATGAAATATAGTTCACAAACAATTCTCCAGTTTTCTTAGACAAAGATGACTTTTCTTGTAGGCTAAGCTTATGGAAGTTATTATTTGGCACTGCATGTGGCAAATGTGACTCAAATTTGTATCTGGAAGTGGAAAAACTGCCATTACCCAGTAGTAAAAAGCTTTTAAAATTATTACAGAAAATTGATAACACTATGCTTCGGGCAACCAATTTGTTCAGTGTTTATGTAGTTTTTGACGTAGCATAACTGTTTAGCATATGACTACCTAGAGCACATTATTCTCTAAGGTGCCACCTCACCCTGCCTTTTGCCTAAAGCACATTAATACAACATAACTATGAAACATAATCATAATTTACATTTCTAGTACTAGAAAGGCTAAAGTAAAGTTCTGCTTCCAAAAGTGGCTGTAAAATAGATATGACACTTTTTCTCGGATATTTTAAGCAAGTACAAACAGGTTTAAAAATAGATTTCCTTTTTTTTAAATAAATATCACCCCTGCAAACTCAGTCTGGAGTATAAAGTGAAGCCAAATTTTCTCATTATGGGGTAATAAGGGTTCTACATACCAAATCCATTGCTTCTTATCCCTCATAGCATTTTTCTCTCACTTTCTTTTTGTCCAACAGTTTCACAGCTGAAGATATCACTGTAAAAATCAGTGATGTATCATCTGGAGTTTAGCCAACAACAAGACTAAGGCAGAGGTGCCAAAATTGATCAGATCCTTTTTGATCCTAGTAAATGCTTTTCTTCTGTACTGGGTCACATTATGAAAGCTTAGGAATATGAAAAGTTACCATCGTCTACAATAACTTCCCCTTTTGTGAGCTTCTGCCAGCACCCTCCATGTCTTTTATGACTAAAAATATTGTCATCTTTGTGTTACTCACTGAATTACAGTTTTGTAGTTTCTCATCGAGTTTACGTAAGCCAGTAATCCTTAAACTGGGGTGCTGCACGATGCTCTCAGGGGTGTTGTACCACCCACACTTCCAGGCTGGACTGTCCCACTGAGTCTCTCCATTACCAGGAGACGTTGTACAGGGCTAGCCTGGGAAGTGGCTCAACAAACTAATGCAATTTTGAGGACATGATCTTACTCTCTTTAGGACCCAGGGGAAGCACTTGCCTCTCTTTTAGTACTGTTGCAAGGAAATTTGGTGCCTGGGGCAAAGCCCACAGAGGCAGCCTGCCCTCGCCCCGTGTACAGATCTGGGGGTTACATGCCCTCCCCATGCTTACCTGGGCGTGCATGCAGCAGCTGGAGCTGCCCTCCCCCCATCCCTGCAGCCCTGCAAATGAGCTGCTTGCAGCTCCATCCTGTGCCCTGCCCCGGCTAGGCAGCACCTGTTGGCACCCTTTTGCTTTGGTGTCCGGGGCAGTTGCCCCACTTCCCCCCTCCCCTCTCACTACAGCACTGCTCTCTTTCCTTTCCAGTAACAGGCTAAAGCTGTGACTGTGAAGATGTAAGGTAGGCAGGAGCTCTCCACCAGGGAAAGCAAGTTGGATTGGCAAGTTGTTCCCTTCTGCGATCAGTCCAACCCCTGTATGTTATCACTTTTCACCCTGAGCTTTAACTTGAATTTTTACAAGTCTTTCTGTAACTGTTTTGCAAGGAGAAAATCTCTTCAGATTTATTTATCAGCTGGCTGGCAATAAGCACAAGATTTATTGAAACTCTTTTCTACTTTTTCTTCCCCAAGTTTAATCAAATTAATTAACTCAATCAAGTCTGCTAGTGTGTGCTAATTAGTGCACTCCAGCAGCCACTGCATCTCGTGTATTCAGCATCCCTGCACTTCAAAATGGCAGCAGGGGGTGCATTAAGTTAGTTTTAGTTAGAGTGCCCTCCTCCCCCATTTCGAAGCACAGGATGCTGAAAACATAAGACACTGGGCACTTTAAAGCAGCTCCAAGAGCTGCTCTATTTAATGCAAGTGCCCCCTCTCCCTACCCCCAAAGCATGCGTAAAGAAGTTCAAGAAGTTCACTTCAACAGCTATAGCACCTTGTGCATGAGTGGTTAACAAAATGTATGTGTTATAATGCTTTGATGAAAACATGGGTTTATATAATTCTGGATACCAGACATGAATGAAGCTTGAGCTTATTCTATTTGTCCTTATTTTTTCAACTCTTCTCTTTTTGCCAGGGATTTTTCTGTTGCTTCATTATGTTACATCCTAGACCTAAATGCTAGAGTTAGTCTCTTTCTCTAAGGTCTTCATGCAATTATAAACTCTTTAGCTATTTAATCACTGGTTGTATTAGATCATGCTACTGCTTTAGAAGACTTCTTTCATAATTTTTTTACTCTTTTCTGTAAAAATTAAATGATTTTTGCTCCTGGGCTTTTTCCCATAGGAGGAAAAGAAAATAGATATTGAGACAAAAATATCTTGGTTATATTTTCCCAAGTGCCTTTCTGAAGATTATTGGTTCTAGTAATATTTGGCTTGGTTTCAGAAAGTGAAATGAGCAAGCAATACCAAAAGGTAGGATGTTAGAAATATATATTTTTTTAAAAAGCGAACATAACATGTAATGGATACCTGCCCCAGAACATAGCATTACCAATTGGAGAATAGGGTAGTCTCACTCAAGCAGTCTATATCCTAAGTAGAAAACATTTCAAATAATTTTAGTTTTGTTTATACTATGCTAATCTTTCAATTGTCTTGATCTCAGGCTCATCCCAGATTAAGAGTCAATAATATAATTGCAAATGACAACACCGCTGGGAGCATCATAGAAGTAGAGCTTGGATATGTTCTTTGATTTGAATAGTTTTTAACCCCCTGGCAGACATCATAATTAAGACATGATTAACCAGTAATTAACCCAGCCAATGTTTAATTCAATTACTGGCATCATAAAATAGGGAATAAATCATACACTTATTACACAAATAATGTATAACAACTTTGTGGCTGGTTTCCATCATGCCATGAACTGAATATGTGGCTAGTCTCAAGGGCTCGATGTGCTCTTACAGCTGGGAGCCCCAGTCAGATGACTGGCACTCCCAGCTGTGGGGGGCAGGACACTCAGCTTGGTGGTTTAGGGCAAGCCCAGCATCATGATCCCAGGCTCCCTTGTACCAGCAATATGGCACTACTGGGATCGTGATTCCTATCATACATGTATAGCATGGCAGGAGGTGCAATAGCTGGGATCATGGTTCAGCTTTTAAATGAATGTCTGCCAGGGGCTGTAGAGCAATATGACTCCATAAGCTAGTTTATAAGCGCACTCAGATGTCAGTCATTATGTCCACTGGAAGCATCAACACTGGTCACGGTTTGTTTCATTTTGTGCTGTTATTATAAAGTGCAGAATTGTTTGAAGAGCCGTACGTTATAAGATGCAAGCAAAGAGAGCATTTAAAAAAAAAGCCGATTAAACTAGAACACTTACCATCAAACTCTGCTGGTCCTACCCCCACTATAATTATTGACATCGGAAGCTTTGAGGCCTTCAGAAGAGAAAGAAAAATAGATTTAATACAAAGCATAGTCTGCAAAAGTTATGCTGACTTGAATAATAATTTGATTAAAAACACATAATTTATTTTGTTGAGGTAGGAAAATTTTCCAAGGAAGGTTCCTAATTTCAGCTGTGTAACCAATCTTGAAGAAAGAGAACAACACAATGAATCATTTTGTTTCAATTTTTGTTTTGTTTTTTCTCCATGAAGTCTCTCAAGTAAAATGTTAAATGCATTAAGTACTATTTGGGCAATGACAAGAGTATACAAATAGAATTACACAAGTTTCCTACACTTGTTTATTAAGTGACTGCAATCAAAGATGCAAATGTTGCACCCAGTAACAGAGCCTGACCCTTAATTAGAAAGTTCAGTAAAGAACACAGACTTTCAAGCTACTGGGCACGTCTACATGTGACACTACATTGCCATAGCAATGTGCTATAGCAACATACTGTCAATGGGCAAAAACCATGATGCTGCAGCTATGTTGCCATAGCAATACACTCCCTCATTATAGTGCGCTGCTACAGCGATGTAGCAGCTAAAAATAACTGTGTGGCCGGGATGGTGCAGTACAGGCTATTACGGACTATCCAAAAAGAAGAACTAAATGACAGCATAGTAACAATGGCGCCATATGGCCACATGTAGATTTACCCAGCGTGTTGTTAGTTCAAACCAAATGGCTTCTTTTATCTTTAAATATGGATTGCTTCTGTTCTTGGAGACTAGGGAATAATAATTTCATTTCTTAAAAGAAATGTTAATTAAATCAAGCAGCTAAGTCGCACAGAAAAAAGAAATCTGGGTAAGTACAAAATAAAATTGTAAAACAGTCAAAGTTTTTACAAAGTACAGACATAATTTTACCCTCTCTCCTCTGCTTATTTTTAACATACACGGGTGACGATATTTGGTTTTCACTAAACAAAATATTTGTAAATCTATAAGGATAATGTCAAGGGCAGAACATCTGCTAGTTTAAGGACCTGGAACTAGCTATCTGGAGGAACACAATAATAATAAAAAAATCATCAAGCAAATATCATAACTAATATCTGTTCTTTACTGGGACATACTTTTGAACTACAAACCTTTCAGTCATTCTATGCAGGACCTACATATTGGCTATAATCATAGATGTAAAGTTTAACCCTAATCTCAAATCTCCTTCAGTTAAACTTTAATAACAACAATTGCATAGGAACAAGTTAGTATTCTTTTAAAATGATTTTCTCTCTCCCAAAGGAATTTTTTTTTCTTTCTTTCTCAATAAACACACTTTTTTTTTTTTTTTTTTTTTTTTACACCAAAGTGTCTCCGCGGCAAAAAAAAAAAAAAAAAGGGTGGGAATTTATTTTTTTAAATAATTCTGCCTCTT